CTGGGCAGGTTTTCCCGGCGGGAAGTGTGTTCTGGGGCAGCACTGCCCGCATGAGGCAGCAGCATCCCTGTGAGTCACTGGCCGTGGGCGGTGGGAGGTGCGGAATGGGCTTTGCTCCATCTGGAAGGGGCAGATTGGAGCAGGGCTGGCATGGGGAAAGGGGGAACGCGTGTTCCCCACGGAGTTCCTCTAATTGTTTCACAGGCAGGGTGGAAATAATCGAGGAAGGGACATCGCTGAGCTCTGGATGGGAAAGGTCCCCCTGGGCAGGTTTGTGATGCTGGTCTGGGCGGATCTGCTGAGCCCTTTCCTCCCTGTCCGAGCCAGGTGTTGATCCGCTCCAGGAGAGAGCCTGTTCCTGCAGGGATGGGCTGGTGAGGAGCCCTGAGAGTCAGCCCGTGGGGCTCTGTGGCCCCAAGGTCATTTCAGCTCAGGCAGAGGCAGCCAGGAGATCTGCACAGCCCGGGCAGGGTGTGTTTGGCTCCCAGTAAGGCTGATGTATGTCACCAGACCCAGGGACAGCCTGGGACTGGTGAAGGATGCAGGGAAACAGGATTTCTGGTGATGTCACACAAGGTACAAGCCTATGTGGTACAGTACCCAAAAAATAGCAACCAATTCTCTAAAAGACAGTGAGATTTCAAAACACTTTGCTGTGACCCTGGTGTGGAGTGCTGAAGTGGTGCCCTGGTCACAGTGTCCAACCTTCCCTCTGCTCTGTCATTTTCTGGAGGAAATGAGGCACACACAGGAGTGGGCACCACGGGCTGTGGGTAATTGACCCTGCGCTGTAATTGCCATGCCCTTGCAGCAGGAAGGCTCCCCCTGCTGCGGAGGAAAATGCATCAAGGCAGCCACAGCCAGCCCGTGCCTCCAGTGCCCCAGCCCAGGGCAGCAGCATCCCTGCCAGGGATGGGGAGAGCAGCTGTGGGCATTGTGAGCATTGTGAGGCTGTCAGGAATCCCATACAGCCTGCTGCATCTGGCTGTTATTAAATAACGCCTCCAGGCTCTCCTTTACACGCAGGGAGCCTGAGCCCAGCTGGAAGGACCTACTCAGGTCTCCATCACTCCTCTCCCCTCCCCAGAACACCATGGAAGACGTTTAGTTGTCCATGATGTGAGTTGCAGAAACCAGCCAATGGTGCCTATTAAAGACTCCCGTGCCATTGCTGCCACAGGCAAGGATGCAGCAACTGGGGAATGTATCAGGGATCATTAATAGAATAAAAGTGGTTTTGCCCTGGAGGAGAATAATTTGTTGGGCATCTGCCCTGAGAGTGCTGAGAGCTATTGGTCCCTTGGTATGGCTGGTGATTATTATCCCAGCTGCACCTTTCCCAGTGTGAATTGCTGCTGGTGGCAGGAAGGAGCAGCCATGGAGTGAGATGTTTCTTATGCTGCCCCTTCCCACCCAGCTGTGAGTGCACAAACCCTCCAGTGCTCACACGACCAGTGCAGCCAGCTCTGCAGATCATCTCTTCAAGTTCCAATTGAGAAGCCCCAGGCCCAGCAAATGGCAAATTCCTGCTGGGTGGGGTCTGTGTTAGTGCTGAGGAACTGTCAGACTGAGCCAAGTTCAGCTGGTCCCTCTCTTTGCTGCTCATCTCCTCCTAGCCTGCCCACACAGACACATTTCCCTGGGCTGCATGTGTTGGGTGTCTTTTTGCAGGTGATTGTGATGGAGAAAGGCACCTCCCCCATGCAAAACCGTCCTCCCCTTCCTCCTGAGCATCCCTAAAGCCTCCCTGTCTGCACCCAGGCTCAGAGCAAACCTCTGGCTTTGGTTCCCCTGGCAGGACCCAGCTCCTGTTTGGTGACAGTCAAGCCCTCACGTGGCTGCTGTTTCTGCAGGGAACTGGCTGCCTTCAGCCTGCTCCA